TACTTTATAGCGTCCTCGATTTTAGAAAACTAAATATCAAAGCTTCCTTCAGAACGCAAGTTCCTTTCATAAGGACAGATTTATATATTCTAAAATCATATTGTTTGCTCTCCTTCAATACAGTATATTTTGTTGATCTCAAATGACATAATTTATGACCAGTTCAGACTTTGCGAAAGGAAAAAAAGATTTAGAATATACCGACGACCATGTGCTTGGTCAATATAGCAAAGAAACTTCTTGTCTTTCCAAAGAAAATCATGTTATGACATAAATACTCATATAAAGTCAAATTTCTATCTTTCGTGAGTAGATTCTTTAATGACGGTAACTGGTCCTCGTAACCATAAAATTTCACTGCAAAATCGGCACGCTTGCATACCGATTTTCGTTGTTTATAAGAAGATTTAAAGATTGAGTGGGTGGTGTTTAACCTAAGTTTTGGTAACCATGTTCATGTTAAAAGAATATTTTCAACAGGAGTTCCTGTAAAAATATATTTGAGAAAAACTACAAATTTCTGACGATAAACTGGTACCGGACCAGTACGATATGGGTTATGTTCATTGTTGAAGGTCGTAAGGTGACCGATAGTTGCTTAAATCCACGCCATTTGGACTTTGGTGGATAGATATTCCATTGGCAATCATATCACTAGTCCTTATTTCATATTATAAAAAATATATAATCCTCACAAAATTCCGAAAAAAGCTTGAAAAATACATTTTGATATATAAACACAACCAGTGATAGATTTTCTTAATTTGTACAGGTACATAACATATGGTTGAATTTAATTTGGTTTCTTTTTATCACTCGGCCGTGGCGTTTTTATTTACTGTAAACATGGTAAATAGGAAATGCTAAATTGCAATCAAAAAAGGAACTTTTTAAACATTATCGTCTAATTTTCAGAAAGTTACTTAAAAAAATCATATAGATTTTCCTCTTAAGAAATTGGGTACTTGACCAAAGTTTAAGTTTTTTGACAAATCTGCTATATTGAACGAAAAACAAATGTGTTACACAGCAACAAACGACAACCACTGAATTACAAGCTCCTGACTTGGGACATGCTTCTTTTGATAATAGAATTTATAAAATGTACTTTGTAATATAATGCATTACTTTGGTAAAGTAATTGTAATGTAGTGCATTACTTTGGTAAAGTAATTGTAAGGTAATGCATTACTTTGGTAAAGTAATTGTAATGTAATGCATTACTTTCCAAATTAAATGTAATTGTAATATAATGCTGGTTTGTCCAAGTAATTGTTATGTAATGCATTACATTACAATGTTATTCGCTCCATGCCTGCTATATTCCCATTTCGTAATGCACTAAAGATGTTAGTTAGTTGACTTTATTGAACTAACCTAATGGTAAATTTGTTGTTTTCGGAAATAGTGATTTTAAGAAAACTTGAAAACCTTGAAATTAAAACGAGATAATGATTGTGATTTTTTGGTATGCTATCGACTAAACGACCTGTAAGGCAACTAGCTTACTTTGTTGGTACTGTATTTCTGTCACTATGGAATTTAAAAGTTATAACATTATTTCACATTATAAAAACGTTAACATGATTCAAAGTCTGATTTTCATTTAAATGTCAAGATAATTTAATTTAATTAAAAAAAAGTTCAGCTCTAAGCAAAATCAAAAACATGTATTTCATGATATCTCAAAATAGGGGATGATAAGGTGAGTTATCAAAAAGTCTGCTCCTTTATTGTGATAACTGTTCCATGAGCATATCTATCACAATTTAACGGTTTTGTTTTTAAAACAATAAAGAAAAAGAAAATGGAAAAAATTAGCCCACCACTTCATATATATATAAAACAAAGAAATGTAGCATTAACATCAATGCCAAAGTGATACAAATTATCACAGCCGCGCTTTAACGTAGCAACAAACACTCTATCTCAACAGATGATGTCAAATAGTCTAGCTATGTTCTTAAATATGACTTTTTGTATTTAAAGTTTCGTTAATTATTTACCGCGCTTGCGCCGTAACTAATTTTTATATATATTTTAATTGACTTTCTGTTCCTTTTAGATACGATCAACAAACAACCATAATCAATTAATCACTTTCTATTTCAATGATATCTAATACCCTATCTTAATTAATTTATTTGTCAAATCAACTGGCGCTTTCGATAAGTATTAAAACAATTCTGCATTTTTCCAATTAATTTCTGAAACTTTACTCCCCGTTGTTTGTGTCATTTGAAACAAGACTTTATATAAAGTTCATGCAGTGCAGTCCTTTGTACAGTTACTGTTTAGATGACCCATCATGTATAATGTCATTAATGTTCGTCAGTTTTCAATGATAAACATCCTTTCAGGACGAGGCTCTCAGTCAAATGTTTTGTTTACATCTAAGCTGATTAACGTCTCAATTAACAATGGTCATAGACGTATGTCAATATTAAGTTATCTAAACAGACTTTCTCAGAAATACGTAAATAGTTATTAGGTAGTAAGTTTGTTTAACAAATACATTCAATTATCAAGGGTTACGACTAGTTAATTAGACTTTTTCAATTCCTATATTTTGTGGATTCTTTATTATTCGTGAGGTACACACTTTCGTGTTAAGTAGGCTTGTATGCTGACTTAAGTAAAACCACGAAAATAAATATTCCCGAAAATATAATTTTTCTTAATCGACTATAATTGGTAACCACGAAAATAAATAAATCAACAGTACTTTACTTGTGTCATTGAATTTTTTCTATTTTGTCTGAAGTAATTTATGTATAGATCACGTGTTGGCCTTCATTCTGAACTATTTTAGCGTTGCTAATTTTAGATCTTTAGCGAACACAATGACGTATATTTCAGATATATACCATGCACATCAACTGTGCTGAATACGTTGACCTTGCTACAAGTGGACCAGAGCCACTGCTGCGGGTTTGAAATAGTTTTCATATGTTTAAATGTAATGAAATATCAACAGTACCGCATGTAGAGGGGAATATAAGTATGCTAAAATGATATTTGATACGGACTTCATGAAAGTTTATATCAGCCAAGCTTAGTTAGATTTTAATGTTATTGTTAAATTGTACACTTGTCTGACTGTTTTGGAAATCCGCCATCTTGTATTGCCCTCTAATTTTCAAATTTGTAGATCTCCCATCATATCATCTATCTAAAAGACCATACAGACGCAAAGTTCTGTCATGGATTTTCTTAAGAATCTCATTCGGCTATAAGTTACTTGTAAACCACAAAAAAATCATAGCATATTTTCATGTTGAATTTCGAAGATTGCAATGAAAATAGTTTGGGTACTTTTTCGAAGTGTTTTATATATATTCATATCGTCGTTTCAAATGATACGAATAAAACTGCAACCTTGTTACGGTTTTCTGTTTAAACGTAAATAAAATACAGCAGTATTATAGAACAAAATTCAATGGTTGGAGAAGGTGCATTTGTTCAATCATCTAATGGCTAACTAATCAAATTAATTCATTTTGTCAAGGACATAAATGCAGGCAGGAGGTAACATGTTGTCTTAACTCTATTCTATGTACCTTAGATAGATAAAAGAAGATGTGGTATGAGTGCCAATGAGACAACCATCCATCCAAGTCACAATTTGTAAAAGTAAACCATTATAGGTCAAAGTACGGTCTTCAACACGGAGCCTTGGCTCACACCGAACAGCAAGCTATAAAGGGCCCCAAAAATGACTAGTGTAAAACAATTCAAACGGGAAAACCAACTGTCTAATCTATATATAAAAAAAAAAGTCTAGTTTGGCTTTTCGTTGACCTGTAGTTTTGATATTAATGTACATTTTCATGTGATGTCTAGAATTAAAATATTTCCCTTTAATTTTCAGACTTTCTTTTTTTTTTTTTTTTTTTTTTTTTAAGAGGATATCTATTGAGATATTGATTGTCGAAATGCATATCTGGTGCAGTAAAACTGGTATCGTTAATGTTATTTCTTTTTTTTTTGTTGTTGCAAAAAACAGTGTCTCTGAAAGGACATTGATATATTTTCCCACTATGTTTTACTCGTGTAACATTAGATGAAGTTATTTTATCAATAAATGGAGATGTTGAGTATACTTCAATATGGAGTAAATCAACCCACTGTAAAAAAAGGTTAATTACATAAACATTGTAATGCCAGTTATCTGTACAGCCAGATATGTTCCTGATCTCATTCGGTTTTGACTGTTTTCAGTTCCGTATTTGTCTGCTCGTACCCGGATGTATGATATTTAAACGGTCAGGCTATATCATATAACTGAAAATGGCAGTCGTTACCAACTGAAATTTACGGTTGCAGTATATAGAATGATTTTAAATGTCAAATCATGTATAACGGCATGCTATCAAATTTTATATAATGAACTGTGTCGAATTTAGTACACATGTATTTCAATTGATTTGAATGGAGACATGAAAAGACAACCGTAGAACGATAATCAATAAGTTTAACACATTATTCCACATGAATACCTCAATTCAGTCAATTTAAATGTATTTCAACCCATTAACAAGTATTAAAAATTTCCCCAAATGATTTTATATATATGTTAACTGTAAATATTAATGATATTATAAATACATTGTAGATTTAATAGGTTAGATGGAGGTTTTGTACATTTTGGATTTAGTTGAACTCATATACCAAGGAAGTCACCATATCTACTTAAAAATCATCACATATCGATTAATTGTTTTTAAAAAATCTGCCATATACTAAGTATACCAAATGCCTCAATTTCATAATGTTATACCATAATATTCCTCATTGTTGATTAAACCATGTAACTGTCCTTGATCAGCCGACATACATTTATACAATTACCTAGCTAACAATTACCCAGATAACAACAATTAAATGTAAACCATAATTGAAAATAATTGAGCCTGTTCACTTATGAAAGTGTTTTTTTCCCGTACGACATTCAAATTGTTGGCTTTGTTTTATTACCTTTGTTTACTTTTTTCTTATAGGGAACCATTTAATGGTCGTCCATGGCCAGCAGCTAGTCCAGTATCTGGCGTGTATGACATAAGAAACTCTACCACAAGACTAATACTACTAAACAACAGGAGGAAGAAGGTGTGTTTACATATAACGTACATGACTTTGCGGTATGGGTTTTGCTCATTGTTGAAGGCCGTACGGTGACCTATAGTTGTTAGCTTATATGTCATCTGGTCTCTGGTGGAAAGTAGTCTCAATGGCAATTATACCACATCTTCTTACTTTTATATATATGAATTAAACAATAAGCAATTGTGAACCTGTTAATAGAAATAACGTGTATGATTTTGGTGTTTCCTTTTTGTAAGCTGGGTACGTGCAAGTTTGTCAAAACAAGGACGCCACATGTGGAGTAGGATCTGCTTACCCTTCCGGAGCTCCTGAGATCAGCCCCAGTTTTTGGTGGGGTTCGTGTTGCTCAGTCTTTAGTTTTCTATGTTTTGTTTTGTGTACTATTGTTTGTCTGTTTGTCTTATTCTTTTTAGCCATGGCGTTGTCAGTTTATTTTCGACTTATGAGTTTGAATGTCCCTTTGGTATCTTTCGCCTCTCTTTTATCAACAGCGACAACTTATTATTTATTTTGTAATTATTCATATCTTTCGTTGCAAGGTTAAGTTCTATTTGATGTCTAGGTACAAAGCAGTCTTATTTACGATCTGTGGTATACTTTATTTCAAGTCCAATGGTACATGTCATCCTAACCTGACAACAACATATAAGACAGAATAGCAGAGTTTTGTTGAAACTTAAGATTTGTTAGTAATATAAAGTTACAAAACTACAATTAACAAGTACCTGAACATCGAACTAAGAGATGGCAAACGAAAAGGAAAGAAAACGAAATTAGCAGAATAGAAAAAATGACTAATTTATTGTATTGATAACCACAATAGTTTTTATTTAAAATTACTCAAAATATTAATAAGTAATTATCAATATAACGTCTAGGGTTTGTTGCTTCGTAGCAATGGCTTCTCTGATGTCTTTTATCGCGAGCAAGAATTCTTCCTACAATGATCACAATCAGATTGTATATATCAGAAGATTTAAAGATTGCTTCTGTTTATTATTTGTAATTTGTTTGTTGTTAAACTACCTCTATTTATTACGTATTATAACTGTTAGTTTATTTCATTGTACTTGATAATCATAACATCAATGGAATGCAATTTTAAAATCAATCAAATATTTATACATGTATTTGCATTTTTTTGATATAAGTTTTAAATATGTTTTCTTTGATTAATTTACAAACATGCATGCAATATAATTGAAAAGCCATATAAAAATTATGTAAATCAACATTGAGTTGACAACAACTGATCATAAAAAAAAATTGCTTTTGAAACTCATCAATGGTTATGATTTAGCTTATAAATTACTGAGTTCAAAATATTTACCTTTCGTCAACATGAGTGGGGAAAAACTTAAAATATAAGTTTAACTTGCCGAAACGTGCTTACAGATATTTGTTAAAAGATCCCCTGTGTGTGATTACTAACAGTAACCTTGATTTTATACACATGCCTCTGTTTTGTCCTCGGAATTTATTAACTGACTTTATTTAAGATAAAATAATTGGAAAACCGGATATATCTATAAATCTTGACCAAACGTAATTTTCCGATCAATTGACAGTGAAAATTTATATCAGTTTTATTATTTGCCAATATATCACTAGTTTGATTTTGATTTATTTTTCCACAGGATAGTCAACTACGAGGACGTAGTAATCCAAGGAAAGAAGAACACAGGTAGGATTCTTGTTTACTTTTAAAGAGAATATATACCTATGCATTTTAATTTAAAGATGATGTTAATAAGAACATACGCAGTGAAAAAATCTCACGCTATTAGAAATTATCCTCGTGTGTGTAATTCCGGTATAACTAACATACCTATTGTTTTATTGGTTTACGATTGTTTACGTTATATTGGTTTGGATAAGATGTTCGATTCAACGTATTATTACACCACTGATAAGTTTTCTTTGCTTTAATGAAAATATAAAGAAATTGTGTAAAAAGTAGATGACACGTTTAAAAATCAATTTCGTACTAGAATTTCTTTCAACATTTAAATCTGTAAATATATGCTGGCAAGCAGAAGCTCAAGTATCTATTTTTTTCGCTAGACGGCATTAGACGGATTAGTTTACATGTATGGCATGTTTCATTCTTAAGGCTTTGTTTATACATTCATGCAACAAATCCGAAACAGTATTACGATAACTGTTATCTGATATAAACTTTATAAAATATTATTTTCCAGGTATCCTGAGCCTGAAAGACACTCAAGATGTAAGTTGAAACTTGTATCTTTAAGCTGTCATTTAACACATTTGTTACAGTGATCAATTATATCACAAAATCCGTAAAGTTGAATCATTGTATGCATACACCCCTGAAGTGTTTGTTTCCTGGACAAAAGTCCATGATTTTGGCCATCCAATTTACCTTTCTTGAGACATTAACTGCTCATTCATGTCTAATATATAAAAGCCTCTTTAAAAATTGCCAATTATCTCTAGATTCGAAGTATGTTTTAGAATTTCGACTGTGGGTTTGAAATGATATTGTTCGAATAAATTCAATTCAATTCAAATCTTTGTTACCACTATACCATACATTTATAGCATGTAACACAACATAACAAAATAAAGCAATATCAACAAGATAAATTATATATAAAATGAAAGTAAATATTTCAAGAGTCCCCTGTCCTCAGTTCTATAGACTGTTTTTAAAAGGATCCAAGCGTATTTACCTGAATGTGTGATCTTGGGTTAAGTATATATGTAATTTTATCTAAATCATTTAAATCTGTAAAGTGTATCTTCTCATTTATCAAAAAAATCATTCGTTTGCCCAAAACAGCATCAAATGCATATGCATGTTGTGAATGTAAATGCACAGATCATGTAATTTGCAGTAAAACAAATAGAGGGTGGTTATTGAACACCTGTCTTTTGTTTTCTATGTTCCAATGGACATTGAATTCAAAATAAACTTTTCTAATATTACTGTTAATATCACAATATAAACAGAAATGAATTTCATCTTCAATGTTTTTGCAGTTTTTGTATAATCTTTCTTCTCCTGGCATGTTAAGATATCTTCCCTTTTCTATTAATAAATTATGGTCACTTATTCTAAATTTTGTTATCAGTTTTCTAAATTCAAATTTTGAGCAAGTTAAATATTTTTCTTCTGTATTATCTAGTTTTTACGTGTTTATAAATAGCGAGTTTGCTGTTATCCTTTATATCTGATATTTTATCATTTACTAGCTTTTTATAAAAATGCTTCAATTTTAATTTGATTTGTTCTCTTATAATTTTAGTTATCTTATGTGAGCAATATTTCTGTAATGTGTCTAAATCCATACCTGTTTCTTCTAACACATGTAATACATGTTTGAAAAGCAAAAATACATTTCCAAAGAGTCCAGGTTTTGAGACAAAACAAAGAATTCTTTCACAAGAGGATTAATGTCATCTGAATATAATCTAATAAGATACAATATAGATTGAAATTTAAAGTTTAGTTCCAGAGGAAGTTTCCCCAAAGCAGCTCTTGCACATATAACAAAGAAGTTTGTAAGCATAAATTCAATTTATGTTTTCGATAAACGGTTTTGATTCCGATAAACAATGATGATATGATTCAAGTTACAGTTTAGAATGTTGACTAAGGATGAGGGTCTGAAATATAGGATGATCGAATATGGTCGAAACTGACGAGAGAAGAGATCTGTATTATTATTTTCTCTTTGATTATTGTTCAGGTTCCTTAACAGAATGGTGTGCATGCATATGACCAATAACATTTCAGTATTTTGAAATAGATTTTAGACTTCCTAATATTAGGGTTAGGTGATGGTAACCCTACCCACACTAGGTATTCATTTGATCAAGGATTAGGAGATGGTTACCCTGTCCACAAACTTGGACTTCCTTTGATTTATTCCATAATTCATAGATATGAATAATGGTTTTAAAAAGGAGATGTTAACCCTTGTCCACACAATTGGTCTTCTTTTGATTCAGGGTTCAGAGTAGTTATCCTTGGCCACGCTTGGTCTTCTTTTGATTCAAGGTTAGGAGATGTTAACCCTGTCCAAACACTTGATCTGCCTTTGATCCAGTGTAAGGAGATGTTTACCCTGTCCACGCTTAGTGTTCTTTGATTCAGGGTTAGGAGAAGTTACCCCTGTCCACGTTTGGTCTTCTTTTGATTCTAGGTTAGATGTTAATCCTCTCCACACACTTGGTCTTCTTTTGATCCTGGGTTAGGAGATGTCAACCCTGTCTTTACATTTGGTTTTCATTTGAATCTGGATTAGTAGATGTTAAATAAAGGCAACAGTAGTTTACCGCTGTTCGAAATTGAAAATTGATTGAAAAAAAACAAATCCGGGTTACAAATTAAAACTGAGAGAAACAAATCATATATAAGAGGAGAACAAAGACACACCAGAAACACTAAAATGCAACACACACAGAAACCAACTATAAGATAACAATAACCATTTTCCTGACTTGGTACAGGACATTTTAAGAAAAAATGGTGGGTTGAACCTGGTTTTGTGGCTAGCCAAACCTCACACTTTTAACCCTGTCCACACACTTCGTCTTCTTTTGGTTCTTGGTTAGGAGATGTAAACCCTGTCCACACATTTAGTCTTTTTTTTTTATTCTGGTCAAGGAAATGATAATCCTGTCCACACACTTGGTCTTTTTTTATTTTGGGTTAGATGTTAACTCTGTCCACTAACTTGCATTTTTGGTCTTCATCTGATTCTGGGTTAAGAGAGGGACGAAAGATACCAGAGGGACAGTCAAACTCATAGAGATATTTACCTGGTCCACACACATGGTCTTCGTTTGATTCAGTGTTAAGAGATGTCAACCCTGTCCACAAACCTTGTCTTCTTATTATTCTGGGTTAGTAGATGTTAACCCTGTCCACACATTTGGTCTTCATTTGATTCTGGGTTAGGAGATGTTAACCCTGCCCACATACTTGGTCTTCCTTTGATTCAGTGTTAGATGTTAACCCGGTCCCCACACTTGGTCTTCTTTGATTCAGTGTTAGATGTTTTCCCTGTGCTCGCTTGGTTTTCTGTTTATTCTTGGTTAATAGATGTTAACGCAGTATACACTTGGTCTTTACTTGAAACGTCTTGGAAGATCCTGCCCACGCTTGGTCTTCCTTGAACCAAACTTAGATGTTAACCCGGTCGCCACACTTGGTAATCTTTGAAGAAGAAATAAGAGATGGAAGCTAATTGAAATACGAATTAAAGAGCATTAAAAACATGAAATTTCAAAAAGTAATGCAACATACAACTTGATTTATGCCAGAGTAGTTTACCGATTTTCAAATTTTATAATTCGACTAAAAAGACTAATTAAGGTCATTAACAATATTCGAGGGATTCGCATGATCATGCATCACCCGACAAGCGAAGCCACACTCATTCAAAATGTCCCAATCGGGGGATAGCACATAACTGTTACACCAGAGATTGATATACTACTACCTCCATATTTATATTAGATTTTGTTGACCTCAATTGTTAATCAAATGCAATCCAGTGCAGTCAACAAAATGTTGCGTATACTACAGTCAAAAGCTGTTTTCTTCTTCTACATATGGTTAACCTTCTATACAAGAAGCAATACGTTTTGGAATGGGCGTGGGCTTTACACATTTGTTATCATTAATTACTTAGTATTTGTCCATTTCTCGGTTAGAAATTGAATCAGTTGTCTGTATTGATAAATAAAATATCTCAATTTAGAAACAAAACTACGCCATCCTTAGCCAAACACACAGTGTTGATAAATGTAGAGATTCATCTAAAATAATACCACAGGTCAACAGGAGCAGTACAATTATTCGGTGTAGAAATTCAAACAATTGGGGAAAACATGATGTCACAATCCCATTTTCTTTCTTCGTTCATTTTCTGTTCGACAGTTGGTACTATTACACTGAAAATCATTCTTGGATTTGACTTGCATAGCATAATTGTACTATTGTTTCGTACACAGTAAAGGTAAGCTACGAAGTCGAGGTTCAACTCCAGGTAATGATGATATCACAATTCTTCTCACAAATGAAGTAAAAATTCAGTAGATATCAATGCATACAGGTTTTTTTTCTGTGGTTTCGTTGAACGTAATTATCATATGCATGTTGGTATAATCTCTTTAATGTATATCCAAAGTGAACATATATCGTGAAGTATAAGGAGTAGAAACGATAGCGTTTTCATATAACCAATATTTTGAAATTTTTTTTAACAAAAAAGGAATAGTGACTAGTTATTGATCCCATTTAAAAGTTTTAAATATGCGGTGATTAATAGCTTCGACTTTTCATTATTTAAAATCATCTGTGAAAATTAAATGATAAAATCTATACAACATGTTTCGCAATACTCGTTTAAAAGTATGATCCAGAATAACTTCTGATAATTAAATGATAGTTGCTACTTTTTAAATACCAATTCATACAATTTTCTGTTCTGTTTTGCATACTTCAATTTCTCAATTAAACATGTTTGGGATCTGAAAATGAGCTCTCCTGATAATTTCGAATAGATATAAGAAGATGTGGTATGAGTGCCAATGAGACAACTCTCCATCCAAGTCACAATTTGTAAAAGTAAACCATTATAGGTCAAAGTACGGCCTTCAACACGGAGCCTTGGATCACACAGAACAGCAAGCTATAAAGGGCCCCAAAATGACTTGTGTAAAAACCATTCAAACAGGAAAACTAACGGTCTAATCTATATAAAAAACGAGAAACGAGAAACACTTATGAACCACATCAACAAACGACAACCACTGAACATAAAACTAATTTAGGATATTTATGTTTGCCCATAGGCAATTTTACAGACAACAAATTCTGTAAAATCAAGAATTTTTTGAAAACTATCCGTGTTATCACTTTAATTATAAAACGATTTAATCACTATGCCATCAGAACATTAGAAATGTACTTTCCGATCAAGCATTTATATTTTCCCCATGGAATTTTCTCATATGCAATATAAATCGTGTAAAATAAAATTTTCCTAACTTAAGGAATCTGCATGTAATATGAAAGTTTACTATTTGTGTTTTTTCTCCCTTTGATCATTTTGACTCCCTCTATTCATTTCTATTCCATCTAACCATATTGACTTCCTCTGTTCATATTAATCTTCTGTTAATAAAACAATATATATATATAGTAAATTTGATGCGTTATCTTCAAAATACACACAATATCAATGTAACTGATTATCCAAATCTAAGCAGCATTACATGTGCATTTTATTATGGCCAGATATTTCGCGGTCTATGTGACAACTTTGTCAAATACCAACTCTTGTTTTTGATGTTAGTGTTTGCCAAAAGCATTGAGTTTAAAAATAAAAATAATGAAAAACATAATTATGAGTTTTCATCTTTATTAAGGATTTGCCATCAGTGTTTACTACAAAGTATGAGATCGATATGCGATTGATTGAGGGTCTCAATTTTTCAATGTCAGGTTTTGATGAACATTGGTAAATAGCCATACCATATTCTATAATTTTCACAGGCAGGTTTTTGAAGTGTTAATCATCAATGTAAGATTATATTGACAGACAAATCTAAATAAATGCGATTGTTCATCGTCAATAATATAATCCGCTTTAAATTCAAATCCTCATACATAAAAACTCATTCAAATCTTATGAGATGCAATTATTCTCTTTAGTTACAAATTTGAATATATTTTTATCAATCTGAAATATGTTGCATTAGTATTCCAAACGTTTTCGTAAATTCATATTCTGAATGTATTTTAGAATAGAACGACAATATCGGATATATGAATAAAATATTTACAAATAAATGCGCCTGAGAAGAATCTTTGATTTGGTAATAATGGTGTTGATCTTTATGATGTTAAGGTTGAAAACTGTGTAATAACATACACGGCACAAATTGTAATGCACAAGATGCACATTTGGACAATTAATATCTCTTCGGTGATCGAGGCCAAAATGTTTGAATATCTAAAATATAATACAAATGTTTAAGAGCGGATCATGACAAAAAGGACATAAGACGGCCGTACTTTGACCTATAATTGTTTACTTTTAACACATTGTGACTTGGAATGAGAGTTGTCTCATTGGCACTCATACCACATCTTCTTATTTATATATTAGGTATAGCCAAATTCGGACAATGAATCAGAGCTTTACACGAGGAAGATATTTTCCTTAATTTAAACTATTTTCATAAGTTTATAACAGCAATACACTTCTAGAGCTACTTGGTAACATTCAGTGTTGTATTAATCATATAAACATGACAAAAAGGAAACTGTGATGATAAGTTTCTTATAGAAATAAATAATAGCAACTGTTATTATCCAATTTAAATAATTTAGTGAGAATTCTTTTTTAAATACTTAATAAGTTTCGTTAATTAAGGCTCACCAATGTCGACTGAATCGACTGATTCAATCGTAAATAACCTTAGCAAAAGAATAATTGATACTTGATAAAAACGGGTAAATGTAAATTAAGAATACTACTTTAAATAGCCGACCTCTATATCAATTGCATGTTTCCTTTATTGGCCTATCACATTCCAATTGCAATTCAAATGTATATATGATGATTTTGTATTGCCATGGGTATTTTTTCCTAGTTAACATAACAACTGCAATTAATAATTTGAAATGTTTAGAGACTACCTTTGTTCTTTCTAACTGTTATAGTATATATACTTTAGCTTCCACACCAGTAAACAGAGAATATCATACCAGCTGTTTAGATTCCAGTTCACCTTATTATGAGCCAGATGTAGATTTAGATATGGATTGGTTGAACCGATCACAACGCCCACAAAATAGATTCGCAGGTATGAATATAGAACAAAATCAACATTTCATAGTGATATCACCCTTACGGAAAACTAATCAGATAATTGAAAAATATATGGAGTCGAAACTTATCAAACAGGAATCTCATGACAAAACTAGTAAATAATCAATATATTACAGGTACTATCACCAACACTCATGTCAGATCCAGGTAGATCCTTGTGGTAATTTATTTGAGAGTTTAACTTATATAGCAAGATCAAGCCGACCCTAAGCGTCAGCACAAGTGGCAGGCTGACATTTATTGATAATCATGCCATATGTCTTTGTCAATGATCTTCATTTAAAATAGACTAGAACACACTCGCGGGCATTTAGAGCGTGATTGCAAGTATGTAAACTTTTGTTGTAGGATAAATTTTTGTAAAAGATTTATGACTGGAGAATTTCAAGAAATGTATCAAAAGTCATAGGTACTTGAGGACAGGACAATCTTATTTAGCCCTCCCCCTTTTTTCCAAAGACCATTATTTTTTGTTTTCTATTTTTCTGTATACTATGAACATACATATACTATTATATAAATACTGTAAACGGTCACTGATATATTATATAGAGACTTTACATAATATATCAGTGACCGCCGTGGATAGTAAACTATTTGAATTGCTAGTAAATTGCAAATACACTTTATTTATAGTATATGTATGATCATAGTATACAGAATAACGCGAAAAAATAATTGTCCTGTCCTAAAGTACTTATGAAATCATGAGTAATTTAAATACGGTCCTAAAACGGAAGTCTTTTTTATGACTTAAAGTCAGTCCGATGACGGAAACAATATCCGGACGCCTTTATTTTCGTTTTCCTCCAATAATAACCCAAACTGAATAATCATAAGCGAGGATAATAAATGCGACTACGCATGGTACCTTTAGGTTACAGAGGCATGATGATTAATTTATTGTGGAAGGAAGAGAAGCGACACACAAAATGAGGTCTCCTCATTTAATAGTATAAATGATCTAGTTTACTCGTCAGAGAACAATTGAAAATACTCGACTACAAGAAAGGGTCATTATACGCTTGCTGTAGTGATGAAAAGTGTTCAACTATACGCATGAAAAGTTCTTAATTGTTCCGAAGCATAACAACACAAATGCTATGTTTCATACGTTATCTAAAAGTAGGGAGTTATTTGTAAAATGGAAAATTAGCCTAATTTTATTTCCCGAGTGAGCAATCTTTCTTTTCTTTACTTCAGTTTGCCACATACTTGAAACATTGCAATCTGTCATACTAATTTTTGTCTGCCTGTTGACCTGGAAATGAAATTTGTCAAGTGCAATCTGTATAAACCTTTGTCATATTTACAGATGAATTCTTAACAAAAAAAATGTTAGACCTAATCTCTATGTATTTATAACTTGCAGCTGTTCAAAAATTATATTAAGCTAGTTCATTTGAAAATATTGGTTTTATTGCTGTTTGAACGTTTCACTTCACTTATACACGTAACACAATTGTCGTGTGTACAAGTTTATTATTTAGTATTTTGGAGATGTTTTTTTTTTATTCAATAGGTTTTTGTAACTTACTTTTGTTTTTTATCATTCTAGCGGGCTCAGCTGTGAATCCGAAACGTCATACGTCCTGCCAAGTTCCTTCTGAACCGAGGGCATTTGATATACGATTGCATTCACCGAGCGGACGGCCAAATAGTAGAACATCATTACCCGCCAATTTTGGGAAAAGTCCGATGATGGGTCAAAGACAGTTATCACCCGGAGAGCAACGATATTTTACCAGTATATCGAGGGTGTATAGTAACAATCAAATGATTCGATTAAAACGAAGACAATACATAGATCTACTTAATCAACAATTGTCAAAAGGTATATTTATTTTATCTCGTTTATAGCATTATTTGTTTGACTCAATATATTGAATTACTAGAAAGTCTTATTCACGCGATATATTCAGCATTGTGGAGCATTCAAGGTCCTCACAAAGACAAGACTATGAGAAAGATTATCAATTTGAGATTGAGACTGTTGCGTCTGTAATTTGCAATTCCTTTAGATATTGAAAAATACCTTTTATACATGACAGTGAATTCTTTTTCTTGAAGGTTAGTGGTATTTCATTTATTCTTTTATTCCTACTCTCTATGCAGTGGAAGTACCTGTTGGTTCAGACACATTATCCATATTCTTTTAGTCCGCTCTAAGTTATTCTAAACACATCAGTGACCAATGTCAACATGTTGCAACTCTTCCAGGCTATACATTTTCAGTGGTTTTATTGAAAAAAAATTCTAAAAATAAAGTCTTATAAAACTCGGCCTAAGAATTATATATTTACCTTCCTGATATGATTTTGTGTGACGTTCAATGTTTTTGCATGTTTTTAGTAAGTTATGTGTGTTTTAATGATCAGTTGAACATAGCGCATACACACTATAATTGTTGATAACCATATATTGACTTCTAGATGTCCGGTTTTATTGTGTTATAAAGCTGCTGTGTCATTGACATTACTCAACATAGCGTTGTATTCATATGCAATACATTTTCAACACTACCAATATTACTGTAAATATCAATATATAAATCTTTAAGTTTACTAAGAAAGATAACTCTCGCCATAAAGAAAAGTAATAAGAACGTTCTACACCGAACATAAGAGACACGAAATAGCTATGGGATTGATACAGGTTCGACAGAGAAAAAGAAACAAAAAATATGAAAAAAAGCAACCTTGCAGTCTATAAATAAGACTTGTTTGATTAAAACAGTGTTCACGGCACAGTTATTTAAGTTTTTTTTAAATTACGATTCTATTTAACACGATGTTACTCCGGTTCTAAGTTTTTGTAAGCAAAAGTTGCTTCAATAGTCATATTCTACAATCATGTCAGTTACAATGTGTTCGCTACTTTTTACTATTACAAACTATTGGTGCTAAAATCTATAGTATAATAAATGTAATAATAACTTTCAATCGCTATCCATTTTTGAAATGTATTATATACTAATAATTGTTTTTTTCTTAACATAAGTAATAAAATAATTTCAGGTTTATATACACAGAAAGAATACGAACGATACAGAGATTTTATAGCATTAGGAAGACAACGACAGTACATGCAAATTCAAAGCAGAGCAGTGTCAGCTCCTGTCAGGTAAACTTAATTTACAGTTGGTAGACTTTTATGCAACCTAATTGTAATTGTAGTTTGATTCGTTATTTCAGAAATTTAATACATTATAAATTCTAATAACAATACATCATGTGATCTCATGATTCAACAGTAAGAACTGGTTAGTTATGATAACATTGTTGTCAATGTAATGGAATTCTATGCGACTGTCATGCAAGTGAGAGGTTTAGCTAGCTATAAAACCAAGTTTAATCCACCATTTTTTTCTGAAAATGGCTTTACCAGGAATATTACAGTTGTTTTCCAATCTTTTGATATGATTGAGCTTTTGATTTTGCCATTTGATAAAGGACTTTCCGTTTTGAATTTTCCTATATTTGTTATTTTACGTTTTATAAATAAAACCGCATATTCAACATTTTGTCTTATAAATACATTTTCAAAATTAATTAAAAAGTATCATTTAGACCATTAATTGATACATTTGCAGTAGCCTTTTATTACATATTACGATATAAGTGAAATATTGAAGATTATATAATGTTACGTCATAATATTCCTTTCTTCAATATTTTCACGTGGTTCTTGTTTCTGTATGCAAATATGTTTTTGTCATAACGTCGGTAGGCAATACATTATTCGTACTCTGAATATATTCATTTTGTTTTGTTTCTGTTTATTTTAATACTGCGATTTGTCTTTTTCTTAGAAGAAGTACTTCTACAGGAAATGAGACAAGCAGAAGTATATCTTCAGTTTCTGTTGACGATAAATCGTCAATATCAGAAAACAATACAAAAACCAAATCGGAAAAGGATGAGTCGCCATACAAGACAACACAGCAAACCAAACGCTCTCAAACCCCGGATAAACGACCACAGAGTGTAAAATCTAACTCTTCAATGAAGAGCACATCGTCAGGGCGAAAGTCCCCAGATAGGTCATCAAGGTCAACGAGTGCAAAATCAACGTCATCTTCCGTAAGGGCTGACAACAACAAACAATCGGAGGAACAAGCAGAGTTAATTAAAGCAGAATTAAAATCCGAATCTAATGACATTGATGACAAACAAAACGACAATATAGCAAAGCAAGAAGAAACAACGGGAAACGATTCAGATACAAATATCCCTTCTGGTAAACAGTATTCAGCACGAGAAGGTCATGACCGACCTAAATCGAGGCTAGGACATATCCCAGGTAAAATGACATAGTTTTGCACATCAAACCCATTTTCAGTGAATGCACAAGTCTCATAGTCGAACTAGATGTTGCTCTTATGTTAAGAACAGGAAACCTCTGAAATTCTGACTGTATGAAAACATTTTTTTTTAAATATTAGTCCAACTTTTAAGAATGTGAAGGTCAATTTTGAGGAAGTAAAAGAAATGTGAACTTAAATTTAATTAATCAAAATCTAGTTCTAGAAACAAAAGAATATTCGTTAATGTTTACATATATCAACTCATCATAGATACAAGGATTGAAATTTTGTATTTGCGCCAGACGTGCGTTTCGTCTACAAAAGACTAATCAGTGACGATCGAATCAAAAAAGTTAAAAAGGCCAAATAAAGTACTTAGTTGAAGAGCATTGAGGACCAAAAATTCCTTAAGGTTTTTCCAAATACAGCTAAGGTAGTCTATTCCTGAGGTAGAAAAGCCTTAGTATTTCATGTAAACAGTTAATTTATAATTATGACCATATCAATGATAATTCATGTCAACACAGAAGTGCTGACTACTGGGCTGGTGATACCCTCGGGGAATAAAAACTCCACCAGCAGTGGCATCGACCCAGTGGTTGTAAATATACTCATCATAGATACCAGAATTGAAATTTTGTATTTGCGCCAGATGCGCGTTTATATGTTAAAACACCTGATTGTGAATTATATGTCTTTTAAACAGGGCGAAGTGCAAATACAGGTAAAATCAAATGCATGCATAATTGGTTGATGAATAATTAATCATTCACGAAATTACAATCTCTACCCTCCAAGCAGACATCGTTTATACGTCTTACCACTAACACTCTTCATTATTAATTTTTATCATCCAGTTCATAATTCATTGTTCAATTTTATTGATTGTGGCAACACCTTTGTAAGCATGATAGCCAACACATCAAATTAATACAGACACAGTTATGGGTGTTTGAAACATAATATATTACAATGTAAGCATGCACAGCACATTCACTTTTGATTTAAATTTCAAACAGGCAATAGAGTAAATTTTATAAAACTAAATGAATATAAACAAACCTATTGTTAGTATTCACACGTTGGTATTATAGACAATAGCCATCTTAAAATATCATGCGCATAAAATACAATAATATATCCACATATATCATGTTGAGAAACCTCATACGGATAAGAATTGGGAAATCTAGAAAATTGTTTAAACATTTGGTTAATTGTCCTTAAATGTTGATTGTAAGAAAGGAAGTAAAAGAAAGCAAAACATTCTTTTTTCATTCCGCCGGTCGTCAGTAAAAAACAATTCTTCCAGAAAATGAACAATCTACAGGTTATTTATGCTTTGTTGAAATAAAAGGGACTTCACAATATTTAATCTATTTCAATACTTATCAAGGATACCAGGCATATAATTTGGAACGCCAGACGCGCCTTTTGTCTTCATACTTCTCCTCTGTGTTCCTCGAATGAAAACAATTAGAAGCTAGGCTTAGGAAGTACAAAGTTGAACAAAATTAAAAATCAAACATTACGAATTGTTGTGCCAAAATACGGCTAACGCAATCCATTACTCAGGCATAGATAAACCTTCGTGTTAAAATAGATTTATTTTATTCAGAACATCATATTTGTAGAAAACAGTTCATCAAAATTTAATAGTATGTATGATTTCAACCTTTAAGAAAATTTAAGGAAATTATCATATATAAAATATGCTATTGTCTGCCAATAAAATTGGGATTTTCCTTTTAAAACATCTGAGGATAAAGTGTTTTGTTATTGTTTCCATGAACGCGAAAAGATTATTTATAAAATACCATGAATATCGTTAACAAAAATATACATATTGATTGTACATTCCGTTTTCGTCTGCGTCGCCAAACATTTAGGTTCAGTCTGTGATCAAAGTTTTTGCAGACATAAATGACTTTGTCAAACCTTCATGGAATTTTATTACACTTGCATATGACTTGGACTGTCGATTTTTGTGATCAAAATATAGTATCAAAAGCATGATTTAGATTTTGTTACGCTTTTCTAAAGGAATTATTGGGTTTTTTTGCAGTTAACATTTACATACAGCCTAAGGTTAAAGTTTTTCATACATCAATAACATTTTCGAACCTCCAAGAACAAAAAAAAAAAAAAAAAAAAAAACATTGATATTTTTAAAGTTTTTTATGATGAATTTTGAAACAAAATGTTGAAAACATATCTTACATAATTTTCAAGTATACAACTGAAACACAGAAGTAGTATTTATTTTGCTGTTTACATTTACCTACAGTCTTGAACCAACATTTTCAGACATCAATAACTGTGTTTAAATGCACGAAAACAGAATGTTATAAAACTTGGACAGACGATTTTTAAAGAACAAGAAACTGCATCTGGAAAAAACAGTTCGATTTTCCCCCCGTATTTCTCATATTAATGGACTTCGTTTTTGAAACTAGACATTAAACTTTTACACCGACAGCAGCAACCGGAGACTAGACTACACACAGCTTTGCACGGAACCCTCTACGATTTTTTTACCACGAAAGAATAATTTAATCGTTTTTCTTTATTATTTTCCTTGAGTGATACACAAAGATGAAAAAAAAATCAATGTATTTGTTTCCAGGTTATCGATTTTCTAATTGAAAATGAGTGATCCATCGAATTCATTGGCATTTTTTTCAGAAGACGACGACAAATCTTTGCAAGAAAAAGACAGTAAAGAAGACGATAAAACTGAAACTGAGAAAGTATCTCAAAGTGACAACGTGGAAAGTACCGAAGAATCTACGCAACATTCGGAACAGAAACCACAGGAAGAAAACAATCAAAAGACTAAAAAATCCAGTGATTCAGACAGTGATAGTTCTAGCGAAGAAGAGAAAGATCCAGATAAACTTCAGTACTGATGAAGTTGTACACACTTTTTTGCATTTTGATGTACGTTAAAGTACACACTTTTACTACGTTTAAGGAACGCCTGTGTTTTTCAAAATACACAACAATGTGATATAATTAGCAAACTAGATCTTACGGCTAGAACGATTTAGTATGACAATGTGGTAACACAAAATATTTGTTTTTTTTTCAAATTTATTAAAATAGTTCACGCCTAATCCTAATAGTTTATCTTCTTTCAGAGTTTGTTTCAATAAGAAACATATAATTGTTATGCCCCGACTTCAACAGTACAGGTCCTTATATTTTCCGGTCTGTGCAGCGTCTATCCATTAGTACCTTCATCCCGTATTAGGGTTTTATAGTTTTGGTTTTCGGTAATTAACAATGAATTTGTCGTTACGTCAACTTGAAACTTGTAACAAACATTTAAAAAATTATAAGCCAAATTCACTGAACATGGAATGGTGATGGTATGAGCGTGACATAGTGTCCTATGGACGCACATATTTGTTAATTCTTATACTTAAAAGTATTTAGTTATAAAGTTACATGTATTGACTGCTTTGGGTTCTGTTTTTGTCCCCCGCGCAACTCGTTGCGGGGGACATAAAAACACCGGTCGTCCGTCCGTCCGTCCGTCCGGTCTTGTTAGTACTCTCACAGGTACAATTCTTGCCAGATTTTTATAAAACTTATACTATAGGTTGATATCAGCAATATCTCGGACAAGTTTTATAATGGTGGCCGATCGACTTTTTTTTAAAGAGTTATGCCCCTTGGAAGTATTAAATTTATAGAAAATGGCCTCTTTAGCGCTCTCACGGGTACAATTCTTGCCAGATTTTTAAAAAACTTATACAATAAGTTAATATCAGAAATATCTCGGACAAGTTATAAAATGGTGGACGATCGACTTTGTTTAAAAGAGTTATGCACCTTGGGAATATAAAATTTATTGAAAATGGCCTTGTTAGCGCTCTCACGGGTACAATTCTTGCCAGATTTTTATAAAACTTATACAAAAGATTAATATCAGCAATATCTCGGACAAGTTCTATAATGGTGGACGATCGACATTTTGTAAAAGAGTTATGCCCCTTGGAAATATTAAACTGATGGAAAATGGCCTCGTTATAGCTCTCACAGATACAATTTTTGCCAGATTTTTATAAAACTTATAGTATACTATAAGTAATGCCCTTGAAGGTCTTTTTGAAATGTAATTTATTTTTTCTTTAACAAGATAATCAAAGATCTATTTCAGCAGTCTATAAAGTATGTGCAACGCTGGGGACATTGGAACTCTGTTTTATTAGTTTTTGTAAACTGTTATTAGTATTTGTTTAATGTAATTAGAAACTATGATTTTCATGCCCCTCTGCTCGGCGAAGGGGACATTAAGGTTTACCTTGTCCATCCATACGTCCGTCCTTTAACTTTAGTTTTCTCAATAAATGTTATGAAAATTGTACATGATGCTTATTGCCACCAAATACAGAGCAAGTTCGAATTTGGAAACCCCTATGTAATTGAAACTTTGCTGAATTTGCCGTTTTCGCACTCTTATTGTATTTTGCCTTAACCGAATATTATGAAACTTATACACAATGTTTATAAGTAAACCTTAATCTTCTTTCTTTTTTACTTACGTATGTTTTGTGATCTTTCTGGATGAGCCAGAAGTAATCTCTAAGAACACGTTAATAGCCAGCTTTAAATCTTTACCAATCATTGACAAAAGATTAAGAAGTGGGGACTTCATCCTACACTTTCATGTCTGGTAGCAGTATAAGTTTGAACACAAGAGAGGCAAAAGATACGAAAGGGAAATTCAAACTCATAAGTGGAAAGCAAACTGACTTTGTGATAACAAACAAAAAAGAAAAAAAGGATCAATAGACAAAAAACATTATACAAAACACAACATCGAAATCTAAACACTGAGCAACACGAACCCCAAAAATAACAGGGGTAGATATCAGGCGAGCCAGAAGGGTAAGTAGATCTTACTTTACATGTGACATGGGTGTGAGAACTTATTCAATGAATTCATAATGGACCATTTTACTCGCTACCCGTAAGCGATACCTACACGAAACCTGACAACTAAAACTAAAGCTAAGCATCTATTGTAGAATTTCATCCAGCATTTTTCATTTCCGACTAGAATACACAGCGCCAAATGTCTACATTTTGAATCGAGATTTATAAGCGAATTGTGTAAGTTATCCAATATCAAGATGTCCAGGACTACTCCGTATCAACTTCAGGATAATGAGCGGTTTTATCAGAATCTTTTGAACATGTTAGTCCCTTTAGAGTAAGATAAGAAATCAGATTCGAATACCTATGTAGCGCCTCTGATACATACATGAGCAACACGACCTTTTACTTATTCTAAACTGCGATAGTCAATACATACTGACTCAAGAGGATATACGTTGTGTGTTTATATTTACTAATTCTGCTGATTTCTAACTGTTTGTCTTCTTTAAAATACAGTTCCTACATGATATTACCATTGTTTTTATCATCTTAGTTTTCACCTGGCCAAAAGAATCTAGATTTCACCAGAATTATTGTCCTGTCTCTTCCCTGGTGTCAAATGTCATCAAGCAATCTCTGTAAGACGATATCTCTGAGTACTGATGGTAAAACCAGCTGCATTGTCTTTTTTTTATACAGACTACTGTGTATGTATCATATTCAATCATTAGCATATCCCAGAAATACTTATTCTTAAAATATCCTTCTTTTGGTTGGTTTATATCAGCTAACCCTCTCCAAATGGCCAGTCACTTCAGTGTTGACATGAATTATCATTGATATGGTCATATTTATAAAAGAGACGAGAAGGATACCAAAGGTTATTGACAGTCGAAAACAAACTGACAATACCATTGCAAAAAAACGGTCAACGACGAAAAGACAAACAACAGTACACAGAACACGACATAGAAAACTAAAGACTAAGCAACATGAACCCTAACAACAACTGGGGGTGATCTCAGGTGCCCAGGAAGGATAAGCAGATCCTGCTCCACATGTGGCACCCATCATGTTACTCATGTATGTACAAACCCATGATAAGTCTAATTCGGTAGGTTACATTAGAGGAAAAGAGGACGGGATTGTGGTTTTATTAACTGCTTACAAAACTTTAAATGTTCGAAATACTAAGGATTGTGTACCCCATGAATAGATTGCCTTAACTATATTTGTCAAAACCATTTGGAATTTTGGATCCTGGATAATCTTCAACTTCGTACTTTATTCGGCCTTTTAAATTTTCTAACTCAAGCATCACTTATGAGACTTTTTTTGATGAAAGCGCGTCTGTCGTACCAAATTATAAGCCTATTATCTCGATAAGTTTATCTACGCGTCATAAAAATCCTCCGTAACGACATTCTAGTCATAAATTCGACTCAATAAATGGGCCGGTTGACGCAATATGAGAAGTACATATCGCTTGTATAGCATCTTTAAGCATCAATTTAATCTTCGGCTGCATCCCAGATAAAATCTACATTTGACTTACCTGTTCTGTGTTTCAACTTGATATCCTAATTTGAAAGAGAAGCTGGCCATTCATGTCTGACGGCGTCTAGTTTAGTTCGATCAAATACATATGTCAACAGATTATTATCCGTTTTGACTTAAGATTAATTGCCAAACAAATACTCCTGCAACTTGTCAGTCATCGCCCATTTTGGAGCTAAAAACTCTGTTTTATGGGTCAGAAAAGCCTCGATCTCTGCTCTTAGTAAGCTACGGCTTGCATAGGCAATTACTGTATCAATGCCTTCCCGTGTCTGATACAGTACCGATTCTCAATCGTCATTACCGTCACCAATATACACAGTAAACAGTGCAGTATAATCAGCATATGCTAATTATAGGAGGACAGGTTATTTCTTTATTACCTTATATATAGCTTCCTATTGTACCTCATTCTATGACCACTTGGGTGTTGCATTCTTTCGTCATACCATACTTTTGTTTCTGTGTGGAATGACCAACCAATAGGTCATTTAAAGGTTTTACAATCTAGCGAAATCATTTATAAAACGTCTATAGTATAATGTAAAATCTAAAACTTTATCAAACCATTCACATTCTGTACAGTGGGCCAGTTGTCACAATAGAGATCTCTTCTGGGTCATTTTATGCGCTCATTAGACACAATAAAATTCAAATATTTGATCTCCTTCTTGCAACACTTTTATATCATTGAATTTCTGGTTGTAATCGTTCAACTTGAAGAAAGCGGTTTTGATATCCCCATTTTTACGTCTTCAAATGATAATATCGTCTAAATGGATCAGACATTCTTTCAAATTTAATTCACCCATACATCATATATCAAGCATTTGGAAGGCGGAACATGCATCAGTGAGTCCAAAGGGTTATTGTATTTATAGAACTTTAATGGTCTTAAATTGAATCCGGTTTATGTTTGTCTGATTCTTTAAAAGAGGGGCGAAAGATACCAGAGGGACATTGAAACTCATGAATCGAAAACAACCTGACAATGCCATGGCTAAAAAAGAAAAAGACAAACAGACAAACAATAGTACACAAAACACAACATAGAAAACTAAAGACTAAGCAAAACGAACCCCACCAAAAACTGGGGTGATCTCAGGTGCTCCGGAAGGGTAAGCAGATCCTGCTCCACATGTGGCACCCGTCGTGTTGCTCATGTTAGTACAAACCTGGAAAATAGTCTTATTCGGTAGGTCACATTCGTGAAAAGGGAACAGGATTGTAGTAACGACATTAGAAACATACCCGCTATCATCTGTGAAACGGATATTCCATAACGGTCAACCAACTCGTGGTGGCGTCCATAAAATTTACGATGGTATGATTTCAACTTCACCATTTGGAACTCTTGGTTTAATAGCTTCCTTGTGAGCAGCAACCCTCTATCAAGGAAATCATGATAGGAAATACAAGCCCGGGAATATCGTATCAATTGGGAGATCTATACTCCGTATGCAGGCGATGCGGGAATGTTGCTACATAGAAATGGAAAGTTCACAATTTGGAAGCTGAAATCATCTCTTGTCGTAAAATTTTGTTTTCAACCAACCCTCATTGTCAATTTTTAGATGTAAGTCAAGATATGAGGCAGACTTAACTGTATCTATTGTATCCTTAATTTCTTGTTCGATGGGATTGATTCGTTCAACATAGTCACCAAATTTTG